TGACGTGTGCTTTTGTCGATGGAATAAGTTCACATCTGGTGTACATTGGGCTGGTAGATTTAGTATTCAGGCTATGCATAATTTCTGAATCTGCCTTGTTCGTGTCATAATTACAATAATTTCCTAGATTTGGTCCCCCATCTTTGTTTATGTACGGGAATCTGTACAGTTCTCTTAGCATTTACATCTAGGCATTCCGCGAAATGAAGACTCGCGTGAGTAATTGCCTCGAGTTGAGCACTCAAACAGATTTCCTATGCACCTGTCCTCGGATGTTGAGCGATTTGCGTTGCATTTATTGGAAGGTACAACAGATACTTACCATTTTAAGTCATTCAGTACTGGGTCTGGTAATCCGAATAGGTAGTAATTTAAGCTGTGTTAGTATTGCAGTGTGCGACAGTGTTATCACCCTGTTCGAATCACAAACAAGGCAAAGTCGAGTCTCCCCATTAGGAACTGGGCCTGTCTGAGGGACCAACCGCCTTGTACAATCTGATGCTGAAGTGCCATGCGTAGCGTGAAGCGTTCGGTTCAAACAGGGACTTCACTAAATGTTCAGTACTGAGTCTGGTAGTTTGATTCGGTGGTAATGGTGATCTTTGGGCAACTGTCGATGGTAGTATTGCAGTGTGCGACAGTGTAGTCACCCTCTTCTAATCACAAACGAGGCAAAGTCGAGTCTACTCATTAGGAACTGGGCCTGTCTGAGGAACTAACCGCCTTGTACAATCTGATGCTGAAATGCCATGCGTAGCGTGAAGCGTTCGGTTCAAACAGTGACTTCGCTGAATGTTCTGTACTGAGTCTAGTAGTCTGATTCGGTGGTAATGGTGATCTTTGGGCAACTGTCGATGGTAGTATTGCAGTGTGCGACAGTGTAATCACCCTCTTCGAATCACAAACGAGGCAAAGTCGAGTCTCCCCATTAGGAACTGGGCCTGTCTGAGGGACTAACCGCCACGTGTAGTCGCCTCGTGCTGAAGTGCCATGCGTAGCGTAAGGCACTTCGGTTCCGACAGGGACTTACCCCTGACCTCCCCGGCACTTCCCGGCACCTCGTGACCGTGTTGGTCACGATGCACCAGGCAACGCCGAGGAAGCTCAGAACCAGCACACACTGCTCGAAGTTGAGAGACCACCCTAAGCGCTGCTATTGTGGTAGTGCAGTTGTTGTGTTGGTCTAGGCAGCAAAGTTTTTGAGTACTGATGGCAGTTCAAAGAGACACTTCAGTTGCATTAGGTAGGTTGTTGTATGCCAGTCTCAAGAACCTGTGAACCAGATGTTGTTCGGCGATACTCAAATGAAAATACTTTTGGCTCGGATATATTTTCGTAAACCATTCGTTTTGTATGAGAATGTTCGGTTTAAAAAAAATTATTGATCAGTCGAAAAGGTTTCATTTTGACAAATCAGTGTCGTTTTAAATGAAATTGTCGGGCTTTAACATTAGAAGAGGAAATGATACAAAACAGGGTGGTTTTTGTAATCTCTAGTATATTAATTTGAGCATTGCAAACGATATTTGAAGATGGCTTAAAATCCCAGCATAAAAATATAATTTTTATATCATCACATACCTACATAGTTTAGATATCAAATGATATATTTAAACACTTGTATTATTGAAATCTGAAACAACGAAGGTAACAACACCCAGACCAGAGACAATATAGAAAAGCTCATTATCTGCATTAACATGACAGAGTGGAATGCGGGAGCTCAGAAATGGTGACACCTTGGAACTGGTGAGCCACTCGCCCAAGATCCGACATATGCAATCTGGAACATCCTGATTGTTCCATAAACTTACAGATCGCATTAGATAGCCCCCTCCAATGTGTCATGTAATGAATTGTATTTATTTCTAAAGTTTAATGAACTGGTTTCATTACCATTTAAATATTGGTGTGTACTTCTGGTAATCTACCTTGAATCAACTTGCAGTTGCAACCATTTTATGCACCCCCTTGTTTTATGGGTGCAATATACTATTATCAAAGAAGAACTTGTTCGTTCTTCCCATCAGCCAAAAGACGTCCTGAACGAGTGGTGGGGAAAAATGTTGGACGATTCAAAAGAGAAGTCTATTTGAATAAATATTATTTTGACTTTGACTTTGAACTCTGAATTTGGCAAAAATTTCTGTAAAGACACCTCAGAAAACTTCTCCACGGCTCTGAACACATCAGTGCGTCAGCCACTTAATATTTGGAAAATATAATCCTTGTTGAATGTTGATTAGATTTTATCAAAAAGCATTAAGGTCTTTAGCAATAGATCAATCTGCAATTTATTGTAAACTAGTTCTAAACTAATTGATTCATACTTTAATTCTGTTAAGGTATTTGTTAATGCTGTAGATTGTACCATTTCTATAAAATTTAACTATAATGACTTCTATTTTTGCAAATAAAGATCTTATCTTAAATCATCAATTGTTGTAGCAGAAACAAATCGCCTCAACTTATAGTTTAATTTGAGCATGTTTCATCTAATTTGGTTTCACCATAGACTGGGTCTTTAAAATCCTATTTGAACTTGTGTTGATTGTTTTACTATAGTAGGTACATAAAGAAAATTATCACCAGTTGTAACCGCTGCAAGTAGGAACTGTTCAGGACCGTGGGGTCGTAGGGAACGTGATGGTGGCTGTGGTTGCCATAATTGCGGTCCTGGTATGGATACTATGTGCTATTTTGTTATGGAAAAAGGCACAGGTGGATTTAGTTTTCCAGTTTTTATCATGCATTATCAAAAAATGTCACTGGTTGGGGTAACAAATCGAATGCAAATCACTTACAGTTTTTCTCGCCTCTGTACCTTACTTGCTCTCTCCGAGCTGGAATCCGACGACGCTGTTAGATGAGTTCGAAGACAATAAACACGCCTGCTTCAATGCTGTTTTCTTTGTTTATTTCACTGTCCCGTTGCTCCATCGCGAAGGGAGGTTAATTTTATTTTAATTTTAACACTAAACTATATAATAATTTGTGCACATTTTATGTAGGACCGATGTTTTCGCCACGAAAAACGACGCTATAATGACGGTAAGCGTTCGTGCCTAAAAGTCATTGGTTCGCTACCCGCAAACTAGATGGCAGCACAGGCGCCGGAAGTAAGAGGGGAGGTAGTGTTTTGACCGGAAACGTCACAAAAAGGATGATGCTTGACTCAAGATGGATTCCGGATATCGAACGGAAACAATATAAAGATTTTTTTATTTAGTTTACAAACAATATCTATTAAAGAATGTTTTTAATTTTAACCCTGATTATATCTGCGCAGTGGACGCCATATTAGGTTTACTTTCGTGCTGGGTACTCTATTTTTATTTGCTTACAGTGTTTGTTTTATTTAGAAACCTCTGCCTATATGGTAATCGCACATTACTAACATTCAACATTTTGATGTGTACACGAAAAAAAAAGGCTCTAACATCCGATGTAGCACACGGTATCAAAAAATATTTTCAAACGCGATTATATACGATAACAGTGCTTTCGAAATTTCATAAGAAAATAATATTTTGTAAAAAAATGCACAAAATACTTATTTTAAAAATGCCTACTATACCTTTGTTCAAAATTGAGATCATGTTTTAACGGAAATTGTACTTTATCCAATTGTTTATTTTTTTATTTATTAATACTGATTTATTATTGAAATCATATAGATTATTATATTCGTATTTATTTAGTATATCTCTCTATTTGATCCATGAAAACCAGTCAAACAATATTTCAAAGCTGTTTTATTAAAAATATTGTAGAAAAATAAATGTAAAAATTGTAAAAAAAAATGCGAAGATATATCAGACTTTGATTTTAATTTGGGTTGGTGTTGAAACCTATTTCTATGGAAACTTTAGATTTAATCATATAAGAATAATTACGTGTCGTATTTTATACCTCACTACAAGTATAACTATCTCACTCGCTCATTGTATAACTTCTATCAAGTCACTGTTTTGACACTATGATACTGCAGATAGTTTTGAAACATACTTATCGATTTATTAATACAATTTATGAGTTTATATAATTTAAGAATCCAAATTTAACTACTGACACATGTTAAGCAAAATATCCTATATATCAATAGAATAAAGATCAGCGACAGCACCACTTCGGATCAGTTCAAACACTTTTTTGCTTTACAAGAATCAGATGTCAAATTTGAATTCTTACAGTTGAAAACTATACAAATTTGACGAATATATTAGTACCATCCTTAATGTTCGCTTATAAAATTATTACCTCTGTATTTGTACAGCTTAATCGAATATGTGTGCGTATTTGTAATATTGTTACAAACACTTTATATGAAAATAAATGAAGAATCAATGTGTTATTAGGAAGAATATCATAGACAATTAGTAATAGAGTGCCAACGAAGACTTGTTTTCGTGAAGGTAAATGGAAAAACTGTATACAAAAAAAGTTTTCACTATGAATACATTTGGCTGCATGAAATACATTTGGCTGCATAATAGTGATTGCTTTGCCTTTCTGAATATACATTTTATTATTGCTAGGCTGTTAGCTAATTATCACCGTAGAAAGGCCGTTTTATTATCTAATTGTCCATTTATTTCTGTACTCGTATAACTCGGCAGTAATGTATAATTTTTAGTATAACAATATTATATTTAGCTATAGATGGTTATTTTGTACTAATTTTAACAGAAGTCATCACACAGTGTTAGATAAATTACTTACATTTGGCTGACTCACTCACGCATCCTTATATAATCGCATCCATCTCTTTCGCAGGATTATTTAATATATGAACTTACAAATAGCTTACATCTAAACTATTGCTGTTCCATTCACACGCAAACAACGTTATGGCGGCATCTTATTCATTCTGATCATAAATTCCAACACACAAATTTCCTACGTGACTGTTACGGAATCCCGCTACGGATTCCTTCCTAAATGATGACTCACAGTTGTCAACCCTTAACTATTGCCGTCCTACTCGCGCACGCAATGTTTCATAGCGGCGTCTCTTTCCTCCATTGGAACGCGTTGGTTTTCACGGCAGGGTTGGCGGAACTAGCGCTTGCAGCTAAAGCTACTCCAGTGCGACGTATATTGGCTGCTGCACTATCTGTAATTTGTTATTTTTTTTTCATTTAATATCTCAAAAGACGATGGTACAGTGTTAAAATTAAGAAATTTTCGCATAAGTTAGTCGTTAGATTGCTACGAAAAATAATTTATCTATAATTCTTCCGTGCTTTATAAGGTACATACGTTGAGTTGTTAACACTGACTAATCAGCACTGGGTCCACGTGGTTAGTCATGACTGTAGAATTATATCTATCGGGAAAGTTCATGCCATTAATATATTTATAACTACTATTATGAAGATATACAACTTAAAATGACGTATAATTAAAAAAAATTGCAAGACCGGCTGTGTAGCCTGCACACAAATTAACTTGCATAAACGGCAAAAAATTAGTAAAACCAACATTCTACACGTGTTGTGTGCCAACCACCAGTATAAGGTCTAACAACACCTGAGGATGCTCCGTGAAGAGGGTCACAAACACGTGTAGTGTGGTGATTTTGCGAGATTTTTGCCGTTCGTACATGTGATTTTGTGTGCAGGCGGTACACAACAGGTCTTGCGGATCCCGACTGTGTGTGGAAGTTGCTAGATATCATATTTTCACAGTTATAAACGCATGTAACAATACTTAATCTTTATAATAATCAATATATAAATATTGTGCAATTGTCCGAAAATCGAACCCGATATCAAACTCAAAGATGACAACGAAATATCTTATTAATCTGAGGGACTCTGTTTGTCTGTTGTATATCTTTTTAATTTATTAATCTACGTATTTGTGTATTTCTATCTCTGTTTGTCTAAATTGAGAACTATATGTGTAACTGTATATTTTCATCTTATTGTTTAAGTGTATTGGTATGCACCTGCCTTTACTTTATATTTAGTCTCCACATCACCTAAAGATTGGCTGACAGAGAATGCCTAAGACATTAAGTCCGCCTTCGTACATTAGTGCATAAAGTATTAAATAAATTAATAAAAATTACAAAAATTTCGAATCGTTCTTACAAGTTTTTTAAAAATCATATGCGTCAATATTATCTGTGCATCAGAAGCTGTGTCAAGGTCCAACCTTCGTTTCATTAATAATATCGAAAAATGTGTTCCTTTAGAGTCGTATTATAGTTTCGAAAAAAGACGAACGTTATTAATAAAATTAAAATCTTACCAAGCCCGTTTCGTACGTTGGCGACTAGACGCATCGCGGGATTAGTCACAATGCCATTCCTCTTGCTTTTACTGCGAAAACATAAAAAAAAACATATACATAATAATATTAATGTATACCTCAATAAACAGAATAAACGGTCTAGGTATGGTCATGGTGAAGGAAGATCCGTCAAGCGTCTGAAGGAAAAGTATGCGTTAGTTATTCAACCTAATATGATATATTATATTGTTAGTTCTGACGTTTCACAACCGAGGAGACATGACGCATCTTCCATCTGAATGCACCGATTGTTTAAGGGGAAGGGAGGAAACAGTTAATTTGCTGAAAACCAGATTGACAGATAAATAGATGTGCAAATCATTTTCATATTCAATTTGTGATGTAAAATATACAGGGTCGGTTTTAAAACACCAACAATAACTCAAGACAAGATAGCTAACATCATCAATAGCAAAGTTTGCTTTATCACTTTTGATAATTCGTACATTTTGCTTTCATACAAAAATAATTATATTACTAATTAAATTAATAAGTCTACTCTCATTTAGAATCCCATACGTAGATAAGAACTGTAGACCACGCGCAAGTAAAGCGTCACGGAGCGTCGATTTTTATTCAAAGTATAGACTTGTGGTTAAACTCGCTACCTAGTCTCAAGAGATTGCTAGTTTTATAAATTACCCTGTATACCTTTTACTAACAATCTATGTGTTATACAACTCGTATAGATACATAACTCGTATAATACCTTTTAGTATACTAACGTCGCCTCATTATCTACGTTACGAATTAAAAGGAGGTTAGAAATGGCATCGCTTCAACTATGTACTAAATCTGTCACCACTTAACTTGCCATTTTTTAATTAGATAACTAGTTATTAACTACTTAGTCATAGCTGTAAACCCTGCAGACGATATAAAGCCTTCTATTATAACAAGATTTAATCAAATTATAATTTGATGCAGTGTTATAAGTTAATAAATACAGGAAACCCCACACCTTTACCAGAACTCAGAACACTATTAAACTCAACACAAAAGTTAGTCAGTTAAACAACACAAGCTGGCATTAGTACATTAAATTAGCTAACACGTCAACTGCATTTCGAAATGTAAATAAATTTAAACATATTTATAAAAACAATAAAAAAATCTATCACTTTAACAATAAGGTTTCAAATGCTTGATTACTTTTTATAATACACATTAATGCAGTTAACATATTAAAATGGTTCAAACTGTAACCAAGTAAACGATTATAAATTTAAATTATAACCTTTAAAAATAAACAATAATAGTTATGGTTAGGTAAATACCTAATCTATTAAAAATGTTTTAATCATCACATACTACATTTTCTGATGGCATACCGATGTAGTAAATGTCTGTATTTTCAATGATTTGTTGCAACCGTCCTGTTTTGAGCTCACAGATGTATTTTTGTTAGTGAATTAGTGAGAAAACAGGTTCGTTGCGACCATTGAATCACAGTTATACTCAATTAATATAGCGCATAGTGAATCTTCGTTTACGCAGAGCAGAAGGACAAATCCGATGGCTGAACGTATGATTGAATTCTTGTTTTTGTTTTTTTAATTAGAATTCTTGTTTCCGACAGGACTCAAGCACACGATATGCCTGATGTCACGCTACTTAAATTATTCGGATTGGTTATCACCTTCAAAATTTACCTTCTGGACAGGTACAGTCAACAGCACGTCAGATTATCAACTTTCAGATTTTCCCATTCAATTTTAATCCTTAATATACTAAAGGTAGAGATTAAAAATTCATTGCGGAAATTTAACATAATGTTTTGATCTGACTTGCAGCCGTGTATACATTAATTAAATCTTCCTTAACGCATTATATATATACCATTGATCATGCAAGATTCAAGTTTTGCAGGACCAATTTAGATAAACAGTTTTTTTTTTGTCTTTTATTTTATAACCCAGTTACAGTATAAACCTATCACCCGCCAAAACAGCGATGCTTCTGGGACTTTTCCTACTGTACTGAGGCGCAGAATTATTATAACACAAGGTGAAGAATGTTCAAACGATTATTTATAATCTCAACATAATAAAGCTTATTCAGCTCATCTAGCCCAGCTCGCCCAGAACTAATCTTACAGTTTTCTATCTGTCATCATATCACGCATATCTTTTATCTTTCTCGATACATATCAGTGTTGTTGGTTAAAGTAGTCGCCCGGCTAGCGAAAGGTCACGGGGTTCGAGTCCTCTCCGAGTGCCAGGGAGAAAGTGGGTTTTTTAAGCATTTTCATTAAAAATATTTATCATTGTTCTATTTTAGTGCTAGTGTCAATAACATCTTCAAATGATAGAAAAGGATGCAACGATAAGGCAGAGATAAAATTAAACTTTTAGTTCATAATTTGTCGCAGTATAAATAAATAATACGAGCAGTTTATCGCAGCCGCACACGCTACTATATACTACCTGCAAATTCAATGCTTTTGATTGATACCATACGATGGACCAAAAGCTACTCCGTTACATCTGAATATTCCCTTACATATTATAGACGTGCAAGTGCCCTTTATAGGCAAACTTGTACGATGGCCTAATTTTCTAATTTTAAAATCTATCAATCATAACAATCACTTTGAACTTGACATTTGAAAGATATTTACGAACTTCACGCTACAACTATTTGACGTGTAACTTCTATGAATAAAACATGCAATTGCGACCGCGACGCTTTTTTTGAAAGATTATTGATATTGAATGAACAATAGCGTTTATTTGATGTTAATCGAAATTGTCTAAACAAAGTGATATCTTCGAAAGCTATTGGGAAATATGTAAAGAAATTAATTTTCTTTGACATTTAAATAATCATTCGTTCCAAAAGCAATTGTAACTTTAAAAGTTACACAATTGCATAAATCACTATCACAACCGCTATACGTTTGAAAGGGATTGTGATAGAATTTAAAATTTGACATTTAGGCCACAGGTTACCTACCTCTTCGGCAAACAATAGCGTCTATTGCGTACATTAAAATTTATGACAAGGTAAATATAACCGACCTGTCCAAACTAACGAGATTACATAATTACATTTATACCAGCACCTTCACCGTTATTTAAATACCCAATAAATTTTACTTCACAGAAAAAAAAAATCTTATTCATTTCCAACACACAGTCCTCAGTACAGAGTCCGTCAGAGCTAGCCATCTCATTCACTCACGTTTTCTTAAATATCTTCCCACTCGTTCGGCCGATACTGCCCATGAGCCTGTTGTATGCTAGCCGACCCTTGGACACCGTGCTAAATATACACATAGTATATATTTATAAACTAATAATATAAATAGATATTGAATTTTTCCCATGGAATAATGCAAAAAGAACTTATGTTACAAACGCTTTTCCTGCATCAGCCAGGCCGGGAATGAAAGCAGGAGACCGAGTTCTAGGTTTTGTAGTGTAATATCTTCATTCCATAATGCAACTACTGGTATTAGAGTTAAAGTTTTAAGTAGTGTAAGAGCAGCTTTGAAGTTTCTATTCTACAATTGAAATATAATTAATATCTAACACAAGTAAAACACATTAATTTTAAGCACACAATATGTAGACATACACATACACATAAGCAACATGAATAGATGGACATAATGGTTTCAATCCTTCAGATGGGACGCCACAGGCACATTAATTTTAATATTATATTTATATGATTATAAAACAAAAAAGGATACTATATCGTCTACAAATTTTGTATTCGAAAAGCATCCCACACTGGCAATAGAAATGTGGCCATACATGTTTTGCTGTTCTCAAGCAACTGCTTAGCCAAAATCGACTTTAACATAATAAAATCAAGAAGTTTTGATAATATACTTCTCATATTTAACAAGGTTTATGTAAGCATAAGGGGATATATTAGCTGACAATAGACTTACTGACTTACAACAGCAATTGATAAGTCTTCACAAGATGGACATACTCTTAACATGCAACTGTTATAATACTCTATATACTGTAGTGTTAAAGCTTTGGATAATAGGTTTATAACTTTACTAATAACTAATTTATAGTAGCTGTTAAGTTAGAGTCAGCTCTATACGCGTCATACCAATCTCTCTTTTCGAGTAAAAAAGACAAAACGATGTGTAAGCTTACACATTGCATAATAAAAGACCTATAATAAATAAAATTTGCTGACGTAACCACCATCCAAGCATACCGTTATCCACGTCATCAATACTTCCTATAATCTAAGGTACGCACAAAATCTTCTTTATTGATACGTAACGCTCGACTCACCTATCATTCCTATCGACAGGTTTACTATCCCTGCCCAGTATTATCCTCATGTGTGTGTCACGGTTGAAATGAGTATCAGTCAGTATCGGCTGCATGGATGTTAAACTTGGTGGTTGTGATCCTGAAATTTGTACATATCTAATTATAATGCACCTAAGCATTAGGCATCAATTGGATACTGATCACCATAATTACACCTAACGCAAAATATATAACAATTATATTTCTTCCTTGTATCCCTCACTTTGTCTATCAATAAGACAGATGATTTCGTTTTTTTATTTATATTTCATAAGTGAATAGACAATCTTATATGATGAGAATAAGAAACATCACCAGCCCTTTTACGTCCCCACTGCAGGGGCTCAGGCCTTCCTTATGGATGGTTAAGGAGGATGGGCCATGACCCTCCACGCTGGCCCAATGCGGATTGGAGGGTATTAACGACTGCAAATGCAGCCGGGACCAACGGCTTAACGTGCCTTCCGAAGCACGGAGTAGCTCGGTGGCGTAGTGGATAAGCGCCGCGGCCCGCGATCGTAGTCGTTAAGCAACTTTCGCAAGGGTCGGTCACGGGATGGGTGACCAAAATATTATTATCTCGAGAATAAGAAACGCCGGTCTTAAATAACTACAATAACTTTTAAGTATTTTTTATTTCATTAATAACGTCCACATTCTCTGCTACAGATAAACAATTAGTTTAATAAAATGAAATAGTTACCAAATGTGTTGTTGTGTTGTGTTGGACTGCACAACTCGGTTGGACTGTGAGGTGGGGATGCGTATAACGGACTGCTGCAATCCCTGTCACCGGACAGGTAACTTCTATGAATAAAAAATGTATTAAACATATCTATCATATTCACAACGAAACCGTGACCCGAGGATTTAAATACATATAACTTACCTTAATTTGCTGTCTTTTTCTAGCGGGTAATGTTCTGGTATAACACATTCCCTCTCTTTTTCTCTGCGGCCACGCCCACAACGTGCCACTTGCTGTGCGAATGTGAGAGACAGATTCGCTCGGTTTGCCTGTAAAAGAGTTTATATGAATTACAACACTTGTTTGCAGAAAAAAAAAATTAAATATTATAAAGTGAAGAATTGTATGTTTGTACTATAAATAACGAGTAGATTGCACTATGGTTTGACGATTGTTCCGCTAATATGTATTCAGTTAAATATCGAAAAATTATTTTACCATCAATTGTGGTTGACAATTTTGTTAATATAAATGGATAACTTTATAAGTAAGCTAGAATTTAATAATTAAATGTAATTTGACGTTATCATCACAAATAAATAAATATATAAATTCTTTCTAACCTTATCGTTCGTATCATCTTGTTGGTCGTGTGATCTTCCAGAGCCGCCTGTCATATTTGATGAGGACTTTGTCGAGTTCGAACTATGAACGCTACGTCTTTTGTACTCCGGCGAGCCTGTATAAGTTATGTGCACTTTAGATCAATATCTAGATAGTTTTGTAGATGAAAAGTATCCTTGTGACTGTAATTTTTTCTGTCTGTATTCGCTGTATGTAATATTGTTCTTTGACAATACGATATATGTTTTTACAAAAAAGCATACTCATTTATACCAGTTGCCAGTGTGTAAATTACTTATATTACAAACTAGATAAGCTCACAAAGTAAACTCTAATGAGCACGATATGACAGCAGCTGTTTACTTGGAGGTGGTTGTCGACGATCGATGTCAGTCATTATAGGCAAAATTAACTGGTATAAGTCCCGTTATTTGCTAATGCACTAGAACCTTATCTAAATAATACTCAAGTTACATCATATTAAAATAAAGGCAAGATATAAATTGTTTATTAATTATTGAAATATTTATGAATAAATCCCAAAATATTGTCATAATAAAAACTGTTGGTTTGTAAAAAAGCGATAGCAAATAATCCAATAAGTATACTCGTCAACCGGTGCTTATTTGTTAACGGTATTGATTTTTAGGCGTAATGGCGGTCAGGCGCATTAGCAATTTGCGGGGATTAAACCGTCGTCGATACAGATGATTATAATTTTAGGCGAGCATATACTAGAAGGTATGATATAATATTTTTTTAAATGTTCTTACGAGATATTTAGCATTTAAAGTAGTGATTATAGCTTACCAGCGGGTGGTTGGATAGACGTTGACGTTGGCGCAGGGGGCGGAGCGCTAGGCACGGGGGCGGAGGCCCATCGCTCCAACACTCTACATATGTGCGCGTGACCTGCACGCCACGCTACCTTCGCTGGAGTCCTGCCTATATACCAATCCAGAATATAAACATTACGCTCAGATTGTATGTTACGGTTTCCGTAAGCAAACGGAAAAAAATTGATACCTTATAAATTCATCATTTCATATGTTTGTCCATCTTTATGACAATAAAATTTAATAGCTATGGATTAAACTACACTGTTAAAACTTGGTATGTGGATAACCGATAAAAATTCACTATTTCTTATATTTTATTTACTATTTTATTTTATTTACAAAAATATATTATAGATACAAAGTATAGACATATGACATTACAAACAAGCGAACTGTAAAAAAGCATAAAAATTATAGTTATTGTAATTAAAATATAAACTTTATATGGAAAAAACTTTATCTCTTTTATTACTGAGAATATCACCAATTCTATTTAAAATAAGAAACAATTATGAATCTAATGCTTATTCAAAACACTCTAGTTTCGTAAACTATTAATTTATAACTGACGTAGATTCGTAACCATCTTTTTTATTTTGTTTTTTATAGTATTTTTATCCACTTACCACAATGATCAGCTTGTGTTGGATCAGCGCCGTGTTGTAATAACCAAAGTACGCATTCCTCGTGTCCTTCTTGTGCAGCGATACCTAATAGATAAGCGAGAAAAATCATAATACATATATAAAAACAGACAAAATCTATTTTTGTATTGCTAGATTTTCTTGGAAACATACTGTAAATCCTGAGAAACGAATACCGGATATTTTGTAAGTAAAAGCGAATATCCGTCCACCGGATGTTCAGCCCTAAAATTGAAATTTTTTTCTGATGTCTCATGAGTTTTGACAATGACATTGACAGCTGACACAATGACGTTACACGCTTTAAATTTTTATTTAAAGTCACATATACGTTCATATTTACTATTGTTCTCTACAAAAACAAATGATATAACACGACAGAATATCGTACGATAACCCGCCGCTACACATCCTTTCACTAGTGCGCAAATATATTGCTATTGCGCTCGCACAGAAGCATCTAACCAATAATGCTAAAAAGTTTACGATATCTATCAGTAGGCACAAAGGGCAACATACGAAATTCTCTCTATTCGACGGTGCTAAAGGTAGTAAGTGCGGTACCTAGAGCAACTTGATAGCGCAGCGGTCAGCGCGTTCGATTTACAATACGGTCGTTAAACAACTTTCGCAATGGCCATAAGATGGGTGACCAAAAATTTTGTATCTCGAGCTCCTCCGGGCTTCAGAAAACACGATCGCACCAATGGCTTGATCCCGGCTGCATCTGTAGTCGTTAACAGCCACAAATTCACACTGGACCCGCGTGGCCCATTCTCACTATTCCCTGGCCTGACCCCCAGCAGTGAGCGTATTATTAGGCTGATGATGAGGTACCTAGAGGCGTGGCACCCTGCGTGCAAACAGCGGCAGGATCAGCGCCACGCTGCAGCAGGGCCCTCAACACCCCGCAGCGGCCGCGCCACGACGCCGCGTGCAACGCTGTGCGACCGCAACGGTCGCGACCGTCCACCGCCGCGCCCCCTAGCATAATTACAAATAATTAAAACCAACAGCTCGCTACAGTTCATACTTACAAACTGTATATTATGATTCATAAAGTCAATTACAGGTCTCTAATATAGGTACGCACATGTTGTATAATTTATTTATTTTAGCTGCTTAAAATATTTAAGCATTTTTCATTAAAAAAGCACTATTAATGTAAAACTGATTAAACATAATAACAAATTATGATTATATTGCATCTATAAATAAAACACTAATATATAATAGATAAAAAAGAAGTATTCAAAAGGCGTCTTTATTGCGAAGCAGTAACCTCTTGCACCCGGAAGAGTGGGTGCAAGGCGATAATAATAATTAGATATATCTGGTTACATAATTAATTACCAAGTTATCCAAATACAGTAAATACAACAAGAAACAATCCTTTTGTGAGAAAAAATTTAGAATACATGTATAGTCTAGGTTTTGCTAGTGATTTTAGGTTAGGTTTTAAGTCCAAATTACAGTTGTTTTAGCAAAATGCGGAAAATGTTGTGTAAGTAAATAAAATTTATGACAAATATGGCATGCTCGCTGCAAAGATTGAATGAAATATGAACACGCACTCACCTACTTTTATGAGCAGATTAACCATGTCCGTGTGACCTTGCCAAGCTGACACGTGTAATGGTGTCCGACCCTAAACATAAGAGAACACAAGGTTCATTATCGAAAAATACTTTTGAGAAAACTATGGCAGGGGCAGGTAAGCCTTCAACGACAGCTCGTATTCACGACCTGTAGAAGAATTTATTGAACCCCTTTCGACGGTGTCAGCTAAAAATAATATAATCGTTCTAAAATTAATGTTCTATTAACAAATAGCTACAATTAGTGGTCAGTTACCTATTTAAATTAGAATATAAATCTAAATAAGACATGTTAAGAACAGCACTATCTAGGAATTTGATATATAATAAATAAACGTTGTTTACGACTAATCTGACAGCTGTCGCAAAAGTGATGTCACACAATGCCAGCACGCGTAGCATGATGAACTCGAGAATGTTTTGTCTACACTCAAATGTCACTTTTCTCGGGTGCGCTCATACAACACCTCACCCTCGACCCGAGAAAGTGACATTTGGGTGTAGACAAAGCGTTTCACGAGTTTGTCATGCTACACGTGCAGGTCATATTTCAAGTCACGTGATACACATATAAAAATAATATAACATTGTAAATTTTAATTTTTATGCAATTTCGTGACTTATTTTTCACTACTGAAACTACCCTACTTCTACAAAAACTTTATGTGCCAATAACCTCAATATCAGCAGCGGCGACACTAGCGCCACACTCCCTCAGTAAGAAGCGCGCCATAGCGAGTCTATTGTCTAACGCGAGCACGTACAGGGTGCTCCTTCTGTCCGCGTCTAGAGCGTCCACGTCTGCGCCGCGCGAATGTAATGCCCGTACTGTGTCGAAGTGACCTTCCAACGCTGCCAATCTGTACGGACAATTTTCCATTTAACAATCCTATACATAAAATATGCAGCGACTGTAATAAACCTCATAAAAATAATTTTAATTCAATAATACGTGACATCTACAGTTCGTCTTTAAACGGTTTTGGAAATGGAATAAGTAAATTAAAAATGAAATAGTTATTGTAACATGGGTGTAGACAGTAAACGAAAATAAATACATTTTTTTTTTTTTGTATTATTTAATATAGTATTACCGATAATCATAGATTTATGCTATTTATGTTTATAATATTGCTTAAATTAATTATGAAAATACAAATATTTTATGCTCGTTTCACGTGACCGCAAACAGCGCGTGATGTAAGAACCTTTTTTTATTGTCATTCTGTTGTTATTATTATTTATTAATCAAAGGATATTTCATTTTCAATTTATTATAAACTAAAACCTAACTAATTCATATTTATTTTCTACCCATTTTTTATTTTATTTATTTAAATCGCATGAATGTTTAAAATTTTGTATTTAGTTGTGCATGAAAATTTAACCTACTCAAACCTGTCATTACCAAATCATAACAATCTTGCAATGATATTTACCGGACTATTCGCTAACTGTGTAAAAAGTGAACAATTTCAATGTGTCATAATCACTTAATCGTATAACCGCTTGAAGAATTTATTTCAATTGTCCTCAGAGTTACAGAATAAGGGACTGAGTATGCTTCGTAAGTACATCGGTTTAACATATTTGTTGTAACTAATTTATTTGATCAACGTTAACAAATAATATTGAGAACAAATTTTCCGCACAATGCAAATTTTAAAATATTTGTAAAATATTTCTTTCAGCTGTTTGGGTGGATGGCCTGAACATTAATGAAAATACGGTCCTGGGTAAAGCAGTCACCCGGATTGTTAAAAGGTCGTGGGTTCGAATCCCATTTAGAGTACCATCTCAGAGTACCAAGGACAAAGTGGATTTCTAAGCATTTTCATTAAGAATATTTGTTATATCTTACTGTACTGTATTTTCTGTCACACTAACACAAAATTAATAAAACGTGGTAAAAAGTAATGACCTGAGCGCTGTTTTCCCGTCATGTGCATGCTGATCTACTGGTGCACCCCAGTCATCTATGAGGGTCTGCACGAGGGCCGTGTGTCCCTCTTGAGCGGCGAGCATTAGGGCTCCTTTGCCATCGTTGTCAGCCTCGTCAACCTTCGCCCCAGCCTCTAGAAGGGCTTCGCAAACTTCTATGTGACCTAACAAAAAGATTACAAATTCCCGATAGAATGATAAAGATTGAAACGTTTTATCAGCCATTATATTGTTGTTAATTTAAGAATTACCTTCAAAAGCAGCATAATGCAGTGGAGTCCATCCAGAGTTATCCCTGTGATGTTCATCCAAACCCCGATCCAATAGTTGACGGACCACTTCCACGTTACCTACAAGACAATCAAATAAAAAATTACATTTCACTGGAATATTATATTTCCATCACTTTTAACCATCGACAGATGGCGCTCCAAGTTCTATGTATCACAATTAAAATTTTCTTTTGTTATCAATGAAAATGCATAGGTATATTTTTATAAAGATATATAGACATATTTTATGACAGTAAGTAGGCAATTCTTTTTGAATATGAGCATTTTACTAAATTAAAAATCGTTTAGCCTTGTGCTCACAATTCACGTACTCAAAACTAGAGTCGCCAAGGTATGCCGTTATAGAGGCAAAAACACATTCCCTGTCATCTTACAACTTCTGTACGTCTGTGTGAGATCATACCAGTATCGAATAGGCTCCGAAACTACTGGACCGATTTAAAAAATCCTTTCACCTACATAAGCTATTCTAGCGCTAACTACCAGCTAGTCGTATATTTCGTTTGGTATACCTTGTGCTGCGGCAGTACTGAGCACCGTTCTTCCCTCGTTGTCCATATTATCAACACACGCGCCCCAGAATAACAACAGGCGGACAGTGTGCGCGTGTCCGGCGGACGCGGCCGCCCACAGAGCTGTCCGCCCGGACACGTCCGCCGCCTCTATGTCCGCTTCAGCCTCTAATAGAAGCTCGCAGATCTCGCTGAGATACAAAATTTTGACATTTATAATCTTTCTCTCCTAGTCACCACATTGCATTTCTAATATATCAATGCAAAATCTGGGCGTAACCTATTTACCATTGTAAGGTGACACGAATAAGGAAAATATTAGGGACTCCCAATCTAGAAAGTTCAGTAGCAAGCCGAGAATTTAACAAAGAAACTCCATGGCGTTCAAACTGATAAATTTTTCACAATTTAAAATATCAAATACTTTGTCAATACTTAAACTAAATTAAATACTAAACCATAGTTAGAATTAAAGGTTATTAACATCTATCAGGCACTTAACATGAAATTAATAAACATTAACTTACGTGTGGCCTTCAAATGCTGCAACAAGGAGAGGTGTAGCTTTATCTCTATCAGCTTTGCCAACTGAGGCGCCTCTCTCCAACAGTATCGCTGCACATGCACCACCAGACGCACAAAGCGATGCCACAGACAAAGCTGTGCGACCTACAACACATAATATACTATATGCAATAATGTGTTGGCTACACTTTTTATGGCAACAGTTATAAAGCCTTTATATGGTCCTTCGAGCCGAACTAAATTCAGTGGATTTACCAGTAGACCGAGTAGACTGGAGTCAAGCGTAAGGTTCTAATCTAAGGGTATCAAATTAGGGGTCAAATTTATTATTTATATCTGAGTAAGACATTGTTACAGAAAACTACACATTTCATGTTTACATATCTTAATGTCATGTCATATAAAATTGAAGCAGCCGTTCAAGGTGTCGCTATATCTGAGGTCTCTGGTTTGATTCCCGGTATTGTAGGAAATGGACTTTTCTATATGGTAAAGAGTCTGGATGTTGTGGTACCTTCATTGTCTCAGATATTACATAATAAGAAGGCTTTAGCTACTCATATTGGAATCTAAGCAATTTACATGATGTTGTCTAATATTTATTTATTTATATAAAAAATATACCTTGCGTATTTAAGGTATGTGACATTTCATGTAATGGTTACTGTCATATTTTTTTTTTACAAAAGCAAATCGATCTTGTCGTTTCAAGACATTCAAATGCACCTCAACTGCGCTTGATAGATAATATTTTAGCAGACTGTTCATAGTCTATCTCGCTTACCATCCTCGTCCGCGTGATCGACGTGTGCGCCTGCGTCTAACAGAGCACGCACAATGTCCGCGTGTCCCATATACGCAGCGGCTATGAGAGGCGTACGCCCTTCAGCGTCCGCACGGTCAGGATCCGCGCCCGCGGACAATAACTTGCGGACAACCGACTCGTGACCGGACCATGCCGCCGCCCTGACAAAAATAGACCAGACAGATTATGATACGAATCGGAAAGCAACTTGCCATCGCGTACAAATTGAGAAATTCCACTTAAGTAAGGTATTAGTTTCGTGTAACCTTACTAATTACTAAACATCATTGATGAATATTTAACCTAATCACGAAAACAACCTAGATGTGTCTTCAGATTGTTAGCGAATGGGTAACAATTTATTATCATACCTCAATGCTGTCCTGTTATCGGCATCTACGCAGTCGACATCACAACCGAAATCAAGCAACACCTCCACGACCTAAGATTAGAAACAGTACACATTGTGTTTATTCAATAACTATAAAATAATAATATAAACTCTAAGAAAACAAATATCGACTGGGATTAACTAAGCAAGATTCGTTATACTGATTTAACATCTTTAAAAAAAGACAGGGACTTCAGTGTTATCATAAGTTTTAGCCAAAACATTACACATAACTTCAAACCAATTTCCTAAACGAACAAATAACAATATATATAAAATACATTACAATAAAATATAATCCAATCTGGCTTTGCAAACTCTACTCAAGATATTTCCTATTCAACAGTGAAAACCATATTAAAATCGAGCCCTGCTTGGGAAGTTATAAAAATCATACACACATAGAATGAACGAGACAGAGACCAATTTAAATGTATAACTAAAATAGTATACAAATTATTAGGAAAACGGTTTTTCTAATATTTAATTTCTGATAAGTTTTGTGAGCCTCTTGTGAGCTTCTTGTGAGCTTAAAGATGTCTTGAATAGGTGATATGCATAAAAGCTTACTTGTAAATAAATTCTAAGGATCTCTCCATCACTAACCAAGATATCTTCTGTTTTTTGAGTTAGGAGTGCTAAAAGTGATAGGAGTTTCGATTTTGCATGGAGGTTCTTTTAAGGACATAACTGAGAAGGATTTTTGCGAAATTCAACTCCTAGGGGAATGTTTTTGGGGTTGCTCAACCGTTCCTGGGGAACACGAGCTATAAAAATGTCGCCGAATAGAGACAGTTTCATACGTAGTCCTTCGTGCCTATTGATAGATATCATAAACATTTTAAGGTTCACTTTACTATGACAAAATTGGCTAGATGCATCTGTGCAAAGAGATATATAGTGCCGAATCTTTGTACCTTGTAAAGTATTATCATCATCATCAGCCCTTTTACGTCCCTACTGCAGAGGCTCAGGCCTTCCTTATGGATGGTTAAGGAGGTTGGGCCATAACTCTCCACGCTGGCCCAATGCGGATTGGAGGGTACTAACGACTGCAAATGCAGCCGGGACCAACGGGTTAACGTGCCTTCCGAAGCACGGAGTAGCTCGAGATAATAATTTTTTGGTCACCCATCCCGTGACCAACCCTTGCGAATGTTGCACATCCACTACGCCACCGAGCTACTCAAAAGTATATTTAAATTTAATTTCACTGACCTCAGCGTGTCCGGCCCAAGCGGCGGCTCTGAGAGGACTCCATCCATCAGCATCAGCACGTGAGGGCGCAGCCCCTGCCCGCAGTAAACATAACGCAGTGGACGCCCGCCCACCCCGCGCTGCAGAATGTAGGGCTGTGCCCCCAGTAGCGTCCGTCACATCCACTATCTCGGGGTGACGCTACAAACATGTATATAACCTTCCATTAGGACGCGGAATATCGTGTGAGATATTGGGATATTTGTTTACGTGATTTTGAGATAAGTTTCATTAATACAAGAGTGATAAAGGCAAAGGAGAATTGATAATATTTTAAATGCACTATATATATAAAACTGACTAAACGATTTAATATCTTAATCCTATGAATATTAGACGCTTAATAGTTTATAGAAATTTGAGATTGTATAGTGATCTGTTGTGTACTAATAAAACAACGAGACACGTACTTTTTTCTTTCAATAACATATATATTTTTGGAATCTTTAGAAACACAAATTCACCTTTAGAAGCGCCGTAAGGGCTTCATCATCTCCTCTATTGGCTAGTTCGTGAACCATGCAAGGGTCCACCACTTCCGGTTCTTCAGGCTCCCCGACATGCGCTTCTTCTTTCTCATCCTGCTGCTGATCATCTATTGGTAACTACAAGAAGAAAATTAACACACCTTAATACCATGTTGCCTATTAAATATAATATTACTACTGTGGCTTTTTATTTCTTATTTAACGAAGAGTTAATGCGCACTCTAAATTATCGACACTTATTTCGATAATTTACAGTGCGCATTAACTCTTATTAACTCTAATATCAATATTGCAGGTGTGTCCATACTAAGACAACAAATTCTATTAACTATTAATAATATCTGTACTACGACAAAATATAATTAGTTTGTACCCGCTTTCACTGCCCAAATCTGACGCCTAAATGATTTCTAGTTAATCTATGCTTTGTTCTTGGTTAGTGCAAACAGGTATTAATGTCACTAGTGACAATAATCTGCTATCTACATATTCACACCAAATCCTTTGCGGACAGACAGAATGGAGCATAACGAAACACGGTCTTTAAATATCTTTCTCTTTCTTGATATTATTATTATTATAACTCTTTTCATAGGTACTCGCTAGTCTTTATAAGTTCGATTCTGACATAAAAAATGATCAGGACTCGAATGCACATTTCGCTAAAAAAAGTGTTCGCTATGAATATATATATATATATATGCTTCTGCTATGAAAAACACTTATGTATCGAAAAAAAAAATATTTTTACATTAACTCACTCACTCTTTCTTTTACACTCTACGTTATCAAATGAAGAGCTAAAAATAAACTTTAAGTAAATGCATATGAGTAATGAAGTAATCCCGGAAACCCAAATTTTCTAAAATAAATATCATGTTGTTCCACACCATGTTAGAGAATAGTTTTGCATTCCCTAACTTTCTGGAATTTCAGTATATAATTAAAAGAAAAAGCCACTTCTATATTATAATTTCCGAACCAAAAATAAACATTAGCTAAATATGTAATATCCGATCCCTGGAGTGATCTGATAAGTATCAACAAGCTAATCAAATGTTTTAAATCCTAGTATCTCACCAACAGAGCATTAGAACCGCGTGTATCCCGGCTCAACTCCATGAGAGTACGGAACACACGTTTGTCGCGGGGCCAACGTCCACTAGTGTCACCCGACACAAGCTCCGGCATTATGACTTCTAGCGCTGTCGTATCTAAAGGAAGAAAGATTTTTTTATATATTTGATACCTTGTTAAGTAATTATCTATCTAATATACACCATATTCAACTCATATTAATAAGGAATAATATACCTTTCAAATAAAAAAAGGCTTTTTTGAAACATCTACTGGTTCCGTATACTACACTCCCCATAAATATAACAAGATTAAATTCTAGATCGAGCCATGTCTTTATTCCTATGGATGAAATCGATTGAATGGGGAAAAAGAGCCATGCATGACCTATGTATCTTGCTAGGCTACCGCCTCCGACCTACCGACCTCACTGATATATGCCATATAGTGCAGAAGGATATTACCGTGGTAGTAAAATGGACACATGACAATGGTATAGTACTAAATACCGAAAAAACTAAATTTATCATTTCCCATACTTAAGCTCATACGCTTCACCGCTACATCTTTTTTCTCATGATTTTTCGTGCCTCCATAAAAGTATGATAAATTGTAAATGCAAACCAATACAACGTCAATACCGTCACATATTTGGGTATGAAAATAGGTGAACACTTTTCATAGGTAACCCATATCTGCAATAAACTAAGGATATTGTTAAATAAATTTTATCTATCACCCAAGCTTCAGAGTATCGATTAGTACATTAAGATGTATTTAAATCTTTGGTACACCCTGTTCTTTATAATGCAGTCAATTTATACGGTTTAATCTTTAAGTCTATTTAAATAAGCTAGATTCATTACCAATAAATTAACAAAAGATGAAATTTAGTTAATTTTTAGTTTATAAAAAAAATATATTAATAAAAATACAATTATACGTGGATTTATGTAGACAATATCATTATTCCTGTTAGGAACTGATGAATTCCTTACGCCCATTATTCTTATTAGCTCTACAGCAACTGATTTAATGGTAAGTAATAATTGAACTATTAAAAAATTTGGAATAATAAGAGAGAAAAGTTCGCAGTATAAACTCACATTCATAAGTCACAAACACAATTAACAGATTTGCTGTAAACACTAAATAATTCAACACGACACCATCCTGTTGGAAACAATTGAACACTGTCAGTTCAAAAGCCAACTACAGTTTTTTCCTACTACACTTCCATATACAAAATGTGACCTTATTGTCCAGAAACAGGCACCATAATAACACGAATGAACATCAACAAGGATATGATAATGAAAATTACTAGTAATTAGTTTATGAAATAAGTGGAAATATGTATTAGGTCAGTAACATTACGATAAAACAATGCCGGTCGGTCATGAGTAAGCTATTATGATATAATGTTATCGATTTCATCTTTTGTTAGGTCGAAAATTTGATTTTGCCTAATTTTCAAATAACTTGAAGTTTGGATTAATACAAACTTAGAATCCGATAGATTAAACAAATTATTCAGTATAGGATATGCTCCCAAAATTTTGAACTTAACTTATTTATAAACTTATTTATTTTGTTTAGGTATATCACCTTAGCTTTTCTAAGTATAATCTATTTCATATGTGCTTTTGACTAATCTGACTGCAATGAGATGTAAAGCGAAAAACAGTATGCTTAAAAATTTTGTCACCACTTTTTTTCTGCGTAAAAAAAGAAAATCTATTTCTATTTAGTCCGTCAATCAGATAATATAAAAATATTAGATACTAGTGGCCGTCAGCGACTTCGTCCGCGTTTTCCACTATTTCTTCGCTCCTAATAGTTGCAGCGTGATATAGCCTTCCTCGATAATTGGTTTATTCAACACAAAAATAATTTTTCAATTCGATTCGATTGGAACAAACTCTTCAGCTTTATAATATTAGTATAGATTTTTTTTTCTTAGATATAACAATAAATGACTTCGATCCTCCTCCTCAACTTTAATGCCTATTTTATATTATAATATTATTTATTGTTTAAGGATTTATGGCGTTCCAATTTTTTTTTATTGTATTCCCGATATTCTTGTCTAGAGTAATTTATGGGATTTTTTGTATCTAGCCAGTCGATAATATGTTTATTTTTGGTAAAGTGATTCTTCTTGATTAAATTAGAGATTCTTTCATACAACCACATACTTATACATGTATTAAGTAATTATTATTACTATTAATGTTTATATAAATATGAAATTGAACTAATTGTTTTCTCTTTGAAAATCTGTTCTTTGTTTTCAGTGTAATGCTATATAGCATATTAATTTTGTTTTATTAATGATTCTAAAGCCAAAGCAAGACTATTTAGTGTTTGAAGATTCGTGGCGTCTCAATTTTTTTTTTATTTTATTGTATTCCGGATATTCTTATCTAGTCGTCGTTTATTTATGCAAATATAAACACAGCCTTAGAATAAAGTTTGGTTACATAGTGGTAATATCGTATAACCTCACATTAAGAGAATGTCTTCATCACCCTAGTATAATTTAGCGTTGGTAACTATTTTAGCTGATGAATAACCTATTTAATTTCCCCATTAATGTGTAATATCATCAGCTGTTTGTTTCTTTCGATAAATAAAATAAAAATAAATAAATAAAAACAAAAATTTGTTATAACACCTATTTAAAATTTGTGATTTTTTTATTAAGGCGCCCTCTTGCAATCTTCGTAAGCACCGATCATCAAATAAGTGATCAAACATTTATTTCCATGGCATTGGTGCTTCAAAAGGCCTGTTAAGGTCTTATCTTAATAAACCGTACCCTTCCGTATTCCCTTCCATCATCATTATATTTATATATTACCTATTTAGAGTTTAAAAAGAACCAGCTTAAGAAATCTCTTCATACACATTAAAGGCTGTCAAAACGTACATACTTCAAAATCCCCAAATGAAATAAAAAAAAAAAATATATTATATTTTTAAAAACCGGCTTCATGGAGAGTATGGCGGGGAGAAAAGAGTAGAAATTTCTTCCTCGGTTAAAAGAATCCTAGATGCGGATGCTTGTTAATAATAATTATAGTTATCAACGCATAATGCTTAAAACTCAGTCCTTATGTGAGATTGTTTATTAACGCTTTTACTAAACCTGCTTAAGAGCTTAAAACAGAAAAGAACAGTCATCTTTTTGACGTTACTAAAATACCAGTTTATATTTATAGTTACACTTTCCGCATTCTTGAACCGTGACAATATTAGGAATCAGGGAAATACTCTTGAAACAATATTATCGACAATATGTAAATCCCAATAATCCTTATTCGGCAAATTCAAATTAACTGTAGTATACAGGTATAGTCATTGATTAATTTAATACTATATTGATCGCTCTCAACGCTTTTGGTTATCGTCAATTTATCTCTTCCAGCTTTTACCAAAGACAAAAGTATATATTATATAAAAATATATATACCATTTCTTAAATCTATTTTTAAAATGTTCTACTAATCTAATTCGCGAAGACTGATCGTCTAACGCATTTAGTATCATTTGTCGTTAGCATCCACCCATCCGCACTGGGCCTACGAGCTGCCGGCCGGGCATTAATAGACTGGTGATGCTGATATTTCATCTGAACTGTATAAAAAGACAGCTTTATTTATTAGGATTCCGTACCCAAAGAAAAACTTAAATTGGGACCCTAATCCTAAGACTTCGCTGTTCGTCTATCTGTCCGTCACTAGGCATGTCATCCACCATGATAGCTAGACAGTTGAAATTGTAAACTTTTAAACTTTCGTGTTGCATTATATTAGATTGTATGATACGGGTATTAACGCGATAGAATTGATAGTTAGGTTTTTCACCTACCTACATTTCCCGACGTTTCGACCGGGTTACACCGGCTGTGGTGACGGGTGGGTAGGCGAAAAACCTAACCATCAACACTATCGCGTTAATACCCGTTTAATACAATCAAATTTAAATTGTCACAGAACATTTGTTTGTAGAAAAAAAAAGCAATAAAATAAATATTTTAAGGCTCCCATATAACAACATGATTTATTGCGTTTTTTTTAATAAAAACGTAAATCTTAATAGTACTACGAAATACATCATGCGCGAGACCGACTCGCACTTGGTCGGTTTTTAATATTTTATTTATTATTTTTTTTACGTACTATACTTAACCTTTTGTATGTACTAGGTACCGACGTAATACTTTAAAATAAAAACATTCTTACCTGAAACGATATCCTTCTGTACCAACGCCCCGATCGATTCATTTGAGTTTTCCTCTGTATTTTCATCTGGCTTCTATATCAACAAATACTTGATTAACATATTACATATTCAAATATATTTTAAAATAAAATGAGATTGAAATATTCGTCTATATTGTATTTACTAGCCGCTTTCACGCAACTTCGCCCGCGTAAATTATAACTTCCCGTTAGTAAGTTAGTTTTAAAATCGGTCCATTAGATTCAAAACAAACGAACATACAAATCTTTCCTCTTTATAATATTAGACCATTTAACCTTAGGGAGCCAATTAGTGGGTTAAAAAGTATATGTCGATTCAGAATAATATGTATACCTAATTTCATCAAATACAGTTTCGTAGGTTTTGCGTGAGAGTAGTAAACATACACACATACTCACAAACGTTCGCATTTATAATATTATTATAATATATCTAAAGCAAACCTCATTATCGTCTACTTGTAGTTGCTTCATAAAAGCGTTTCCTTCTAATGCTGTTTCCACGTCACAGCCAGAATCCAAAACCCACAATAGGACAAGCGTGTGGAGATCCAGGACTTCTTCTTGATCACTGCCAGACAATTTTAATAAAACTGTTTACTTCTACCTTCCATGGTCGAGCGACTCGAGTACCAGTTACATAATTTCGCTATAGAAGGATTTTAATTTATATTGTTGTACAGTGTTTAAAAACCTTTTTTATATCATGTTCCATTTAGATAGTATTTGTTTAAACCATCGAAAGAAAGTTAACAAATTTCGGAAGATAAAACGTCAAAATGAGATGTGTTGACTTAGTTTGGTTGGATAATGGTTTAAGTTAGTTCTTGTTTTATACCAAGACTATTTCGGACTAAGTCAGGGGAGAGGTACTTTTAAACACGAAAGAGTAAAAAATTTATGAAACTTCACACATTTTAAACAGTCACAAAAAGCGTATTTGTTTATTAAAAGAAATAAATAGATAAATGTATATAAGACAACATCACATACATTGTTCAGATTCTAAGATGTATAGCTCCATAATACGAGGGGTATCTGATACAACGAAAGTACCACAACACCCAGATCCGAGACAATTGAAAGTAAAATATTTTTTTCTGGAAGTTTAAATTCGGAGCGAAAGCCTCTTGGTAACGAAGGTCGTAATAACAATAATAATATTTTTGACGCATATGTTAGCCAGAAAAAGCTAATGATATAACGACGTTGGAATAACGACATTATAAGTTTTTGCACGCTTTTTGTGAACCCGATCACTAACTTAATCACTAACTTCACTATCTTAATAAAAATTATCGAATAAAAGATTTCTTAAAACTTAAATAATTTACTTATTCATAAACAACTACGGAATCACAGATTTCTTTCTAAAAACCCGCAGGTTGTCGTCTCCAGATCTAGGTGGCGTGGATGGCAATTGTCTGACGCGATTGCCTAGTACTCAGGATTGCCTAGTACTACAGGTATCCCTCCACCTTGTGTAGGCTCAATAATAAAGCTGGGCTGGCCAAGGCGGCGTGGGAAAATCCACCGCAGCCCATGCCGCCATAATTGGCAGAGATGGTATATAAGCTTACCTCGACTTCCCTTTCTTCAACGTAGCCATATGTTGCTCTAGAGTTGTCATGTGGAAGACATAGTTATGGATTTCAAGGGCTGTCAATCTGTAAAATAATATTTTTTTTAAGTTGGACAAACGATGATTTGATATTTTGCCTTAAATACCAAATTTCTTAAGAAAAAAATATAGGAAACAGAGCGCTATAAGACGCAGCTTTTCACACGTTTCTGACAACAATTTTTGACAAAATGTGAAAACAGATATGAGTTTTGCCTTCCCCTAGCTTCTATTTTTGTATTTTATATATTTGTATGCCTTGTTTCCGTGATTGTTGACTCTAATCAGAATTTAGTGACAATGGAAGTTTAAAGCAATATACCTTCTCGAGTCGAGCGTGTAGTACATAGCTAGCTGCGCGTGTCCGTCCAGGGGGCAACACAAGTATCGCCTCGTGCAATGCTTCACGTCAGTCAACCACGACGCGAAGGAATGATGGAATATCGACAAATAACCGCTCGAACGCTCCATCACTAGAATCCTGTATTATAAATAAATATATATTATTGACAAGATCACGTACATTGCTTAGATCTACACATAATCACATTTTTCTCGTCCAGAACGAGTGGTAGGGAAAAAAATGTTGGACGATTCAAAAGTACTTTCAAGAAGTCTATTTGAAGATTATTTAGACTTTGACTATGATTTCAACATTAAACATAAAATATACCTGTATAAAACATTGATAAATTACGGAAAGAACAATATTGGTTGAGGATGTTATTATAATAAATTACTGACAAATGCATTCAAAGAATGCATTCATGTCGAATCAGTCATATGTATTAGGAAAACATGTGTGCACATTGTAATAAAACCACTTGTGTGTACCATTATTTTTATTGTATACCAATAAAATACGCCACGGACAAAATATTTTTAATAATATTGTTTTTACAATAAATAACTTAAGTACCTTACTATGAAAACTAAAACAAAGAAGGTAACACAACACGTAGACATTATAGACAACATTTTCTACATTGACCGGACCGGGAATCTAGCCCGGGACTTCAGAGGCGACACCTCGAACCAACTTGCGAGCCACTGGGCTACTTAAATCGTCAATACATTGAGCATATACAAACATAATAGAAGAGCTTCAAAATGTTAGGCTATCATTGCTTACTACACTATAAGCGTATACAAAACAGGGATGTAAGTAATTAAATGGTAAATCTGTTATATGAATAAGAACCAAAGACAATGTATGCAGTGCCGAAAAATTATTCACAAATGACAACAGGTAGCGCGCGCGTTAAAAATAGAAGTGTTCAATGAATACACGTTTATCTTTTTATACTATTCTAAAAATTAAGATAAGTGTATACTATTAAAGTGAACTCAATTATGCCCCTACTAATTTTTTTTCTCACCTTCTCAACAAATGTAATCTTCTGTTGAAATCCTCTCTGGTGACACTGTATTCTTTGGTGAGCAGACATTTATATAACATTTCTTCGGTGACACCACATCGAGCTGCCAGCAACACGTCCAATAACGGGCGGACCTGAAAACCGACACGAAGAATATAACACGATAAGATATCTCTTACGACGAGATGACTTACTTACGGGCTGCTCTAGAATAACGTGACCATTTATTCATTGGCTTAAAATGGGACACCCTTTTTATTTCACAGAAATGGAAAGGTAATGACAATCATGATATTTATAAAATTTAAATAAATAAATGACAAAAAGGACTTTGTTTGTGATTTACCTAAAAAATTACGAGTACTTGCGTGTCAGGATAAATAAAATAGAATTATAACAGCATACAAGGTTAGCTTAAAAGTAAACTTATTGCGTGAATATCAATTAATCAATTATTTTTGTCATTTTTGTCCGTTCTTCTTGCCAGCCAAAAGACATCCTGAATGTAAGGTAGGAAAAAAATCCTGGGTGTTTTAAAAGAGTATATAAAGGGACTATTTGAATAAAGAATATTTTCATTGTATTTATTTTCCCACAAAGAACTATGACCTATAATAATTACCTTAGTGAATCGTCTCCCATGGAAGAGTCGCTGCGCCAGCCAGAGGTAAAGACCGTTCAGTGTACCCGGTATCTCTCTTATCTCTCTCAACGCTATGAAACCATCTGCCACACCGTCTAACACCTTATCGCAACAAATATAATTATTAAAACCATCTCATTTAGACTAACAGTTGGTACTGTGTACTATATGTTGATTGTTAATAAATAATAAAAACCAGCAAACTTTATTATTTATTATATTAACTACAACAAAAAAATCTCCTGTATCTTATTTGTATTTTGTACTCAAATAGACTGGGTCAATATTAAAAAGACATTATACGCTACAGATAACTTTTTGTAATATTTATTAATCAGACAATATTTTTGCGTGTTTTTTAAGATAGAATATCAACATAGCATAGTGAACACAAAATTTATCAAATGCAATAATCTTATATACTAATTAGAATCCTTTAAGTATTCCAAAATTAACATATTGCTTTTATTTATAGAATCAGCAAATAGTATTATGTTATCTATAATATTTTTAATCATACTCACTTTCTCCAAATACAATAAGCATCCATCGCTTTTAATCCTCAAATTATCCAAAGCGGCCGCCGCCGCCGCAGCAGCAGCAGCGTCACTCGAAACACGAGATCTGATTATGACAAATACACAACGGTTTATTACCAGTATACGAAACATAAATATCGTCATAATATAAAAACTATAACGCATTACATATAAAAAGTTCACAACCTAAATCAAACTGGTAGCTGGATGATTCGTTCTGCTTACCAACATTATTACCTTCAAAATAAGGACTAAAATTAAATAAATGTGACAAACATCGTCCGATTATTATCGCTTTAAATTTGCCTCAGTATTTTAACTGTAATAAAATTGGCATAATATTTAAAAGATGTGTCAGATGTAAAATTAAATCCTGACCCTTTATACTAGAATAGAGTATATACTAATTGTTTTATAAATTAAAATTTACTATACTATAACTTACCTAAGTCTGGGTTCCGTGTCGAGTCTAGCGAGTACGTACCGCTGCACATCGGCAGAGACGTGTGCACGTTGTAACTCGTCTAACATTATCTTGCGGTACCCTTTAATAATAAAAAGTACACTTGTACTTAATACGTAAATTATAACTACCATATTCTGAAGACGGTTTTCTTCTATACATAAATTACACCAGGCAAATTTCGACCTAATCTCGGCATTCTAACCGTGTTATTTGTCCGAATAAGAGCCGATATACATATAAGAAGCGCAACGTGCATGTTTCACTACCAGTATCGTCTTTATGGACATTGAAATAAGATTGAAAACTTAATATTTATTTAGCACAACAACAAATCCTGGAGTATCGAAGCGAAGTATATGTGTGTAGTAATTCAGAGATGTCTAATCTTATTTTAACGTTTACAAAGATGACAATGCTTTACTTTCTCCAGATCGTTTAATATGTATAGCTGATACGGATATTTGGTTTGGATAAGATCAGCGGGTTTTCATTTTTCTTAATATAGTTTCGGCATGTGATATTGACGTCATATCAAACCGCAACAACAGGCAGGACATGCTTCGACTTGCATTGCGTTGCTATTACTTTTTTTTTGTAAAAACCATAAGGTGTAATTTGACACTGGGCCGTTGGCCATTTTTGTATAAAAGTAAAAAGAGCTATGTACTTAGTATAGCAACTTACTGCGATAAATGTTTGTAATATAACTCACCAGTGAACATTCCGTAACAGGGTCTAGCGTGTCGTCTCGCCGTACACACGAGCAGTAACCACGGCGGCAGCAGGTGTTGATGCCTGGCCAGCAGGGTTGCCACTGTGGCGGACGGTTCAGTACCTTCGCGATCTTCAGTGCCTAAACAACAAGGCTCTTAATTTTTACAATTAAATAAATATATGTGTATATATTTAATATCATAAAAAAATGTATATGTCACTGCTTCATGAATATATATACAGATGAAATAAATAATAAACTTAGAAAAAATTATTACGCATATAGATTGAGGATGCATCGATACGCACTTCGGCCGATACGATACCGACATATATAAAAAAACTATCACCGATACGATACCGATACGGAAAACGAAAATTCGAGGAAAGATAAATATGCATATATTTTTCGATTTGTGCAAATGTCTTTGACTATTTAGTTTTTGCGTAGCACTGCCTTATTAGTCCCTATTTCGTAACTCTCTGGTTCTCTCTTCTTTACTCAAATATTTGTACGCTATATTTGATTAAAGAAGTATAAATAAATAAATATAATTTAAAATGACTCTCCAAATTTTTTCTAGGCATTAGGTATCGTTAATAGATCACATATATGAAAAAAAAACAGTATGTAAAATTTTCAAAATGAAGTGTAAACTTTTTGTAATTACAAGATAATTATAACATTCGCATTGTCACATTAGTTATGAACGAAACGAGCAGGGGTAGCAAGGGGCGCGGGCGCAGGGGATGCGCCGCGCATGCGCCGCGCATGCACCGCCGACGATATCTGCTCGGTTTTTTATTTAGTCGGCAACATCAGTCACCCGCGCATAATCCCTTTGAACGCACGCGCTTCCGCCTTTGCTTCCGTGTTGCGCGCCACCCGCCGCAGCCCCACACTTCGCGCGTCGGAATGTATTCCAATCGCGAATATTACGAAATGGTGCGGTGTTACATTTTAAGCGGTGAAAGTTTAAATGCAGCTCGGAGACTATACGAAACAGAATCCATCCCAGCCCTGCAAAATCAGGGATTAATAAACCCCGCAGTACCTAGTCGCGAGACATTTTTGGCTGTGAACCAAAGGCTATTGGACTATGGTCAATTTACTACGCCTGCTCACGCTCGCGGAGGTGGAAGATCAAGACTTGCAGTTGAAATCGAAGATGAAATCTTGGATTTCTTCGAAAGGGACCCGCGAGCCAGTACACGAGATGCCGCACGCCGATTTAACGTAAGCCACTATGCCGTGTGGAAGCTGCTGAATGTGACAGGGCTACACCCTTACCACTTCCAAAAGGTCCAAGCTCTACACGATGGAGATAATGTGCCCCGTCGCACCTTTTGTGAATGGCTGATTGCACACCCTAATGCCAACATTTTGTGGACTGACGAAGCATTGTTTACTCGTGTGGGGCTTTATAACCATCATAACGAACACTGGTGGTCCTTCAGAAATCCGCATATGATTCGGGAAACCCACCATCAAGTGCGCTTTAGTGTCAATGTGTGGGCCGGTGTTATAGGCACGAAAATACTGGGGCCGTACTTCATCGAAGGGCCGCTCACCGGCGGCAACTTCCTCGATATGTTGCGGCATGTCATTGCCGATTTCATGGAGGACTTGCCCGTGGCCTACTTCCGGGATTTTTATTTTCAACTGGACGGTGCACCACCCCATTACGCCGCCGCCGTCCGAGATCATCTCACCATAGAATATGGTGATCGATGGATTGGACGCGGAGGCCCCATCGTGTGGCCTGCTCGATCGCCGGACCTAACACCGTGCGACTTTTATTTGTGGGGTGAAATCAAAAGACGTGTGTATTTTGAAGAAGCACAAAGCCTCGAGGACTTAAAAGTGCAAATTAGTGCGGCATTTGACCACGTGAAAAATGACACTGTAGTGCTCGCCAAATTAAAAGACAATGTGCAAAAACGTGCAAGACTCTGTGTGGAGAGGAACGGTATGCACTTTGAACAATTATTAAAGTATACGTAGGTAAATAGTTAAATTAGGTAGGATAAAGTGATTAGTTGATTATGTACATAAAGTTGATGATTTTTTAAATACGCCTGATTGCAAAGAATATCTAGTTAAGTACCTACTTTTTTTATTATTGGTTTAACTAAACAGAATTTTAGGTAACTTGATATTTGCTTACCTACTTATTTATAAATTTAAAGCAGTATAGTTATTGTAATAGTAGGTATCTAATAGAATTTTTGCAATTTGACGGTCCTAAGCCCGTAAAAGTATGAAGGAAAGGTTTCAACTTTATGTACCATTTGCCCTAGCATAAAAAAACGAAAACATTTTAGGTAGCTGCTACTAACTCGCAAACGTACTTGTATTACTATCAATGAATTGCGGGAAGGGAGGGGGGGGGGAACTAACGTAGCGCGTAAAGCGCACGTACTGGGCAGCGGGAGCGTCCACAAATGTATGTTTTTTGAAAATAACTTGGTGACGATATAACTCAACATTTTTGTTCTAAACGACATAAAAAGAAAAAACACGTATTTCATTATTTGTCGTAAAGATTAACATACTAAAATTTGGAGAGTGGTTTTAAATGCTTCTTGTATATATAAAACCTAGTAATATGACGGCAATCACAAATCAGTGTTGTTTTTATTATTTGTTATCTGTATTATTTGTATTTCGCTTATCTGTAGCGCGCCGAATTCAAAGTGAATCGGTGTATCGGCAAATTAATATCGCTGATTCCGATATACCGCAAAACTCTCGTAATCGCCGACATTTCGATGTAGGATGGATACCTTATAGATAATTCATCTAAATTGACATAAACGATAAGTAAAAAAAGTGAACATAAAAAGAATAATAAGACTTTTTATCTTGCTAATGCGATCCTAAACTAATCTTTCAAAATCAAGAACGAAACAGGGTAGAAAATATTCACTCGCATAACGTACCTGTGAACCCTTCATCGATACCATCCACCAATAGGAACAGCGTCTGTTTAGGCGGCGCTATATCCATCAACGGTCGTAGCAGCGCACGTTTGAAGCATTCGTCCGGGTTGGCGTGAGTGGCGCGAGGTAACAACGCCCGCTGCACGTCCGCGTCGGCGAGCACGCGCGCGTAATACGCGTCCGCCACGCCTGTGCGCGCGCTCACCGGCAAACGGGGGATGGGAGGCGGATCTTGTCCGTCCCCATCCCCGTCCCCGTCCGCGTCATCCGCGACCCTCGCGTCGACAACTACCCCGTCACCATTCTCGTTCTCAACACTGAACGAAATAACGACGGATTAGATTTTGTGCCACCTTCAATTTACACAATATAGCCATAACATAAAAAATGCTCTGATTTTGACTCTACTGCAAAGGAAGGATAATGTTTTTTGCGCGTATCTTGTGTGTGTGTAATATTCTTTGTTATCTCATATCTTCAGAACCGCTAAATGTATTTAGATAATTGTGATACTGTTAAATTTGTCTTAGTAGCTCGAGTGTTCTTAGATAGATAACGTTAAAAAATCAAATGCGGCGGCTGTGCGAGGCCATTATATTTAATGTTATTTTTTGATTGTTTCAAATGCTACAATATGGGTATCATATTAAAGGGCTTAATACAAGGGTTTCATTTGGGGTTAAGTCCGCCTTTTGTGTTTACAATGCAATAAAGAATAAATAAATAAACAAATTTCAAAAAGTACATCATAATTATCATTACCGTAATAGCAATAAAAATAATACCATGATAAAGTTGAAAATATGGACTTTGTTCTTTCACTTTCTGAACCAACCTGGTAATTTGTCTAACTTAAAAGACATAAAAATATTTTTTTATTAAAATAAAACAAATAACCCACCTGCATGGAAAACAACTAACTGGAAAAGGCTGGATAAGATAAAAAAATGTATGCAACATCATACACAACATGCAGTCGGAGGCATGAAATTTAATAATAAGTTAAAACTTTTCAATTATTTTTTTTTATTTTTTTTTTTTAATTATGCATGAATTTTGATCCCATCAAAATTATTGCCTTGATTTGCCCTGTTTGCCTTGATTTTGTCTCATGATGTTGTGTACACATGTCATTGGAAGTGTAACTTGACATGCTGCATTGTTATGTAAGCTTATTTATTGATGTAATTGTACTTCGCAATCGGGGCGACCGCTCTAAACACTGAGCTAAATTTTAATTATTAAAAGGTGCCATATTACTTTTCCTATCGTTTAATATCCAATAATAAATTATATATAGAAAAAATAATAATATTAATTATCGGATCCCGATTTGCACTCAAACATTTAAGTGCTAAAGACCATCAGAAGATCAAAAATCAGCTATTGCATTTAAAAATTGGAATTGAAATTCATAATATCTTCACGATATTTGACTTGACTTGATATTATAATCCTTATATCGAAAAATACTATAATTAAAATACCTCTTCTTCTGCAATGAAACTCCCACTTCAGGCTGTTGTTGCTCTACTAACACATTCTGATATTCCGGTAGTTCTTCCGGTTTTTCCGATTTCACTTTCTGCGGAGAATTCTCTGGCCGGAGCTCGCTCTTATTCGGATATCGGAAATTCGCCACCGGTATACGAGACTTGGGTGGACTGCATTCTGATTTGGGTTTGTCTGGATCGCTGGTGCTAGAAAATAAAACGTAAGTTTCAACCAATCGTAACGTTTGCATACGAGACGTATACGATTGCTATTGATTGATGCACGCGCGCCTTGTTCGATGCCCGAAGCATCATGATGTCTCAAAAATCCAATACAATTGGGAACCTTAACGTAACGCATTAAAGTCTACATTTTAAATGTGTGTTTCCGTGGTATTGCATGGACTCTAGCTTGCTTCTAAGACTCATTATAAAAATGATAGTGAAGAAAGGTGCCTTCACGTTATTAGGTAATTAGTATTAGTAAGCTGATTAGGGTGGAGCTTCCATGTCTCATTCAATGGTAGAAGTCTGTCTTACAGATACCTAAAGCTTACACAGTTTAAATTAAACTTTGAAAATTCGAACAAAGCAAAAGTAGTTACAATACCATTGCGTCTTTTGGGCCGTAGGTTCAGAGCTCTGTCGCAGCAGACGCGCCTCCTTAGACTGGTTGTGAGATATGTTCCTCAGGAACAGGTTCTCGTGGTTCTCGTACAGACGGAAGTCTTGTTCGTCCGGTATGAACGGATTCAAAGGCTTCTGCGTAGAACGGGGTAAGATTTCAGGAACCTTGAAAATTTTTATAACATCTCTTAATCACTATTTCAAGTATATCAAATCATCGGAATATGTTATATGGATATGAGTCTAAAAAAACACAAACTTATAAAGTTCTTTAGCATTTAGTTAAAGAAGTCCTAGTAAATGGAATTTGTTAAATATAATGCGAAAAAAAATCTTTATTAATATACTAACATTTAAATATCATAATAACAGGCATATCCATATTACGATACCAAATTCTCTATAGCAAATAGATTTTAAAAACTTATTTTTTCTGTGTTGTCCAGGCCAAGTTTCTGTTTTGGTTTTGTTGATTTTCATAACACAATTTTCTGTAGGATTTTTTAGTTTAATGTTATTTAATGTATATAAATCTGCTGATTTCAGATTTCTGGTCGCTAAAGGAATGGCGTTTATTGTCCTTACAAGCTTATAGTATTACTGGCACTAGAGAGGTCTACTCTAAATGAATCAAGATGTATTAAATGAATCCTCTCACAAAATGATCAATTTGATTGCAAAAAGAGAGCATGGCAATTAACCTATCGTTAAATAGACATCCTATTCCTTGTATCAACTTATGCGACTTAAAAGAGACTGCTTACATGGCGATCGTCACGGATAGAGTCCTGGTAGGTATCACGCTCGTGAATACGCTCTATGGTGCGGGTTCGACGTCCCGAGCCGCATTCTTCCTCATCGGTCCGTTGATCTACAAAAATAATTGTAAGTATACAACAAGCGTCATTGTAGATGTTTGATTCAGATAAAGAAACATTACTTACAAGATATTTATTTTTAGTAAATCGTTTAATTTGCTTATCATCCGCTTATAAAAAAAAATATTATCCCCTATACACATAAAACAACTCACTTTTTAATTAGGAAACAAAATTATATAAAACTAGCTTTCCGCCAGCGGCTTCGTCCGCGTGGTCTTGTATTATACATAAAAACCTTCCGCTTGAATTACCTTATCTATGAAAAAAACCGCATCGAAATCCGTTGCGTAGTTATAAGATTTAAGCATACATAGGGATATAGGAACAGAGAAAGCGACTTTGTTTTATACTATGTAGTGATTTTCTGATAAATATGTAACTATAAATCTACTAATTTGAATAAACCTTAATGTCTACAATTTACTGACCTTCACTATCTGCCAGCAATGGCTTAGAGCTCTCCTCGGCATCGTCAATTAGACCTTGGAATCTATTCAGAAAGCAATTGTCTCGATCGTCATCAGAGTTGCGCCTGTCAACAAAATATAGTACTTAAGACTTTTTTGTTGAATAAACATAAAAAAGTTTTTTAAAGGAATTATAATCAAGGATCCTCTATTAAAACATTATCATTATAATAACGTTAAGGCGGTAAGATGTACTGGTATATCTCAAAATAGTTTCGGAGATGGAGTGGATGGTATTAATTCTCGCCTGTCTCTTAAGTTGAAACTATTTATTTATAATGAAAAATGCTTACAAAATCACTTTGTCCCTGGCACTCGGAGATGGTACTCGAATCGATAACCTTTCGCAATCCGGGGATTTATAGATTTATATTTGAAATTTTCACAATTTTTTTTTCATTTTCTAATTTACCCCCAAAAGATGCCAACATGTTTTAAATACATTTCGCATGTTGAGAAAGATAGTGACACAATGCAAAAAATGCGATTTTGAGTAAGGAGCGTTTAAAGTTCAAGAAATTGTAATCAGCCCCTCTAAACAACGTATCGTCACTACGCCACCAAGCAGTTTCTATGCAAGCTACGGTCACAGGGATCTTTGCATTTTAAACTTTATACTTAACAAAGAAAAATGTTGTCAAAAGTAAAAAATACGTCGTTTTTGGTTCGTGACATTGTCATTCTCAAAGTGCGATTTGTTTTCTTCATATACCCTGTATTTGGACCGCCCACTCACTCAAGTGACACTATATGACAGACGGACGGATCGTACTGTTTTTCATTTATATAGGACCTAGAATCTAAGTTCTTTTTTTATAATAATGAAACGTTTTGTAGATCTTCAATATTAAATTTTTTTTATTTCTGAGGTAAACTCAATATCACCTGTCGCTGTTCGGTTCCCTTGGCGAGATATCGTTGCGCGCGTGCCTCGAAGAATGGCTCAATATCTGCATCGCCAACGAGCGAATGAACTCGGAGGGACGCAGACTATTCTCATTATTAATCTGAAACATAATTATGTATATCGATTTAATAAAGTAAAATGATCTATTTGATTAGTTACCAATACTGTTATCTGTAGAATCGAGGCTATAGAATAATAGATTACTAAAAAAATATTAATTTCGTCAAATGCAAAGGGAATAGCAACTTAAATCTATATTAATCTGTCCGCTGAAGGAAGCAAGCAAAACGCTGTCTCTTTCTGATACAGACAGATTTGAAACCATAGGACGCATTGATATTGTTAACATTTTAGTTAGGTTGTTCATAATATGGTACACGAGGACGCGGAGACATCTATACTATTGCAAATGCAACGGCAGACAAATTTGTAGTTGCATTGTAATCGCAGCCTAAGCATATTATCTTCAACCAATCGAGTGGCAGCGCAGAATTTCTGTTGCATCATTGAATGGTCAGAGTATAGTACTAGACCCCGTTATTGAAGATGCAATTTGGTAGCAAGACATTTTTGGAGATGGTTAAAAATATAATAAATAAAGAACAATAGATTAATAAATAATAAATGTATACTTCTATATTAAAGAAAAACAAAAAACCCGACCATTCAAATTTTACCAACCAAATTTTCCCAAGGGGCCCCGACTATGAGTCGTTCTGTTCTGCATTAGAATTTATTATTTGTTTTATGTGTGTATCGATTATAAAACTATTTCAATTGTGTAGTTATTTAGTATTACTTAACAGAATTCTAAACTACTGGGCTTGTTTTTTTCTTTTTAGTTTCATATTTAACTTAATTTTTTCATGTATTTTTTAAATTTTGTTTTTACGCAGTCGGGTTTTTTTGTTTTTCTTTAAATTATTTATTTTTATTTTATACTTTTTAGTTGCGATTCATTGACTTCGTTATAAGATGGTAAATTTCGCAATCTAGTCATTTCATTGTGGGAGTTAATTTCGTGGGGATTATTAAGTAACTTACGGTGGTCTAAACTACTGATGATTAGTCCGTCTAGAGACCTAACTCGGCTCAAAGCTACATATGCTTTATTTTTTTACTAAAGATATTTGTTCTTCATGCTTTTTCACTGTTTTTTTTTTGTTTGTATATCGTTTATACTTTAAATAAAAACTTAAATCAATAAGTAAGAAAATTAGCGAATATGATTGTTTTGTTAAACAACTTTAAATCGTAATATATCCTAAACTATTATTTAAAATGAAAAGTGATAAAAGGAACCTAGAGATGATTTTAAAATACCTATTCAACGACACCCCACTTGACATAGTTCGTCGGTTTTTTTTTTCATTTTGATAATATGGCGTCTGGTTGTCGCTGTGGTGAATTTTGATTACTGTCATGTCTTTAGTGGCACTCGTAAGGGTAAGACGAATCGATTGACGTAAGAATCATCAAAATCGACCTACGCATTTGGTCTCTAGAACGCCACATAGAAACAAACATACATACATACATAGACTGATTCCCTGGGGGAACATTACCCTTCTTTGCGTCGCGCAGTCGGGTAAAAACTAATTATCAATACCGACGTCATAAATATTTTTACCCATCTCTAAAAACGTCCAACTACCAAACTGCACCACCGATAATAATAACAAATCAATTTGTCACCTGTATGAAATGCCTGGCTAATAGTCTCCGGTTAAGCGCTCGCTGTTGTCTGGCAGCGGGTCCTGGACTGGGGGAACTCAACTCCTGACAGAACGCAGTCTTACCACTACCAGCTTCACCTGAAGACGAACACATATACTAAAGAATCTAAAGCGGGTAATTCACTAGCGGGCAAGTTTGCTAGTGTAGGACCGTCACAGTGATCCATCACACAACCTTTAGGTAGCGAGGTACGACCGACAGTGTTTAATATACTATTACCGATGCTTATTATATTTATAACATTGCTCAAAGTAATTATCAAAAAACTAATATCATATAGTATGATATTAGTTTCAGAGGGCCGTAATGTCGTAGCGACGCCAAGACAGAAGTGGCGTTTAAACGGGAAATTTTGAAAATTATATTATTTTTAAAATTTTTTTTGGACATTTTTCATGTATAAAAAAGAAATATTAAAACAAATTTTACCTAGAATAAGTGCTCCAGCCGTGTTGCTGACAGCTCTCTGTTCTAAACAGTGGGCGATCTTCTGGAAAGCCCATTCTCTGCAGAAAAATCTCCTTTTATCAGTAGTGATGTTAGTTTCTGTCACACGATGGGACGAGGAAGACTTGCGGACGGGACGGGAAGACTCGTGACGCGGTGCCACGGGACTCAATGGTGTCCCTGTAAAATACAGAGTTAAAATATTATTTATTCAACTACAAGCAATAATACATCATCATCATCATCATCATCAGTTTTTTACGTCCCCACTGCAGGGGCTCAGGCCTTCCTTATGAATGGCTAAGGAGTATGGGCCATGACCCTCCACAATGGCCCAATGCGGATTGGAGGGTATTAACGACTGCAAATGCAGCCGGTACCAACGGCTTAACGTGCCTTCCGAAGCACGGAGTAGCTCAAGATAATAAATTTTTGGTCACCCATCCCGTGACCGACCCTTGCGAAAGTTGCTTAACAACACCGATCGCGGGCCGCGGCGCTTATCCACTACGCCACCGAGCTACTTCACAATATTACAATAATACATAGTCATTTGAATAGTCTATCTTTTTTTCCTACCAAGTTTTCAAGATTTGTTTTAGCTATAATTATTATATTTACATTTTGCCAAAATTTAAAAGAAGTAATTGAGAAATAGCACAGTAGTGTCATTGCAAGTGAGTAATATGTTTGCCTGTCAGATATTAACTCAATCACAAAATACTAAACTCGAAGTAGAGTCAATGGAAACTCACATTTGATGTTTCTTACCATATTGATATAGACTTCGTACAGTTCTGCTATACATTTTTTTTTTCGAATAGTCTCTATTCATAATTGAAAGAGGAAGGATTTGATTGCTTGTTTGTTTATCGATATAAATCGATGAACATACATACCCCTACATATTGATTGATTGATACCTACTATCTATATTCTAAAAAAATATATATCAAAGAGTAAAATATACATCAAATACTCGTTAAAACAGAAAATCTTCCTTTCATATTTTGAATAAATTCTAAATACGCAATCATTTGTTTTTTAGCTGAAATGGGCCATATCATATCATCTTAATATTTAGGTGATATAGGTTGAAAAGCGAATTTTCGAAGAAAAACTAAACATTTTTTTCGATACAATTTATATGGAACCACCTCGATCCATCGAGATGTCGAATAAAAAGAATTTTGAAAATCGTTCACTAATGGTCGAAAATATTGGTGAACGTTCATATGTATAAAAAAAACATACATCGCCGTCGAACGTATAACCTCCTTTAAGATTTTGAAGTCGGTCAAAAAGGCTTACCGTCAAAATCGTAATTCTCCCTGTCTCTATCTCTGTCTTTGTCCCTCTCACGACGGTGTTCCCTCGTGTTGTCCTTATCTCCAGGGAAACCCCGATGCTTCTCAGTCGGGGTCCTATCGTGTCCACGGGTGGACACAACGTCGTTTAGTTGTAGAGATCTATATTAAAAAGAGTTAAAGTGAAATTTAGACAAATTATGTATCTGTTCACAGCAATTGATTTATACATTCAAAGATCAAAATTTAATTGATTAGTTGAACCAAAATGGCAACTGCTTACCAGCACATATTCGGGTCTTTATCGAGGTGCCGGATGGGGAGTATACTGGAGACCGGAGCTTACCCGGAAAATCGTCATTTCGGTTCAACTTATGTGCCGCGCATGATGACCGCATAAACTCACCTTAAATTAACTCTATGCTCAGCCTGCCTGACTGCTGAATGTCTGTGCTGTTGCTGCCTCATGTTCACCTGATTCTGCCTTAGATACGCCTCCACCTTATTCTCGCTCACCTCATTCCTGTTCTGTGTTCTCCTAGACCTACTCGCTTCATCCCTTGACCTTTCCCTCCTATCCTTTCTCTCTTTATCTACTCTATCCCCTCTATCCGGTCTATCGCATTTCTCGCCTTTATCTGTCGGCGACAGAAAGTTCCCGCCATTATTGAAATTCAAAGGATCAAAGTCTCTAGTCCCCATTTGGGACCTACTCGATTTCGAATTCTTACCACGATACTGGGACTTCGGCAACACTTGACTGTATATCGGCATTTGATTCGCCATCTTAAATTATTTATTATCTTTGGTTAGAAAAAATAATTACAGTTCTCTATAGAGGTAGAACCTTCTTTTTTTATTTTAAACGCTTTGGTATTAACTAATTGACACTAAGTACTAGAGGAACGCGGGATTATATTTGTCTATTTTAATCAGTAAAATAGTTATCGTGTTACTGTATATATATCACAAAAGGTGAGGTTTGATGAGATTCAGGTCATTCTGAGATATTGACCTATCTATAGTTCTTTTTTTTTACTTTTATTTTCATTGTTCAATGACCATTACTACGACGAACTGGTTTATCTGAAACAAAAGAAAACACGTATGAATTCCCTATGAACATAACACACATAAAAAATCTGGTTCATTGTTACTCAAACGGTGCATGGTGTCACTCATTTATCGCCTCAAATAGTTGTTTTGTTGTAAGTCCACATAAAAGGTCAGATCGGATCAGAGATCTGAATCAGATGAAAAGCAATGTCTCTTTCGCAATTAAATTAAAAGGGAAAACGAATTTTTGAAACACGAAAAGCCCCAAATCTTGTTCAGTAGGGTTAACATTCTATTGACGTAATACACATGTACACGTCCGAGGCTAACCCCTCGATACCTCTCATATATAAGCTGGTGTGTCTAGACCACTCCATATAATGGGTTGAATAGAGCCCATTGAAAAGGCCCGTCATAAAATATGTACCAAAAAGTTCATTCGTTCGCTAGCCGTTTTGCACATGGCGTTATCTGCAATGTGTACCAGGTTCAGTACCTATGACAAAGTCGTGAGTTACTTGATGTTTGTCAAGAGGTCTTATTATAAATTTGTATAACTAACAAACATTTGTATACCTACAATATTAAAATGCAAAAAACAACCTAATTTCATAGTAGCTGGGTATAACTAAAGCTCGCAAAACTAAAATTTCGCAAATTATAACACAAAATCCACCAGTCAAGATTAAATTAACAATCTTCATGCTGTATTCATTAGTTGACTGAATCATTAATTTGAAGTTGTTTCTTGTTATCCCATTAAAATTTCGTGTAATAAGCTAAACATTATGAATGTGGAAATTGTGATTAAATAATTGGAAGAATGTAAATTCAGACATATCTTTTAGAAAGGGTGTATATTGTATGAAATATATCAACAAACTTTCAGCAATAATCACAGTCCAACTGTGGTATAACACATGATTAAAAACCATTTAAGACATAATGTAATAACACCAAAATTCTATAATTCTATCGTGCTTATAACTCAACTACAGAGTTTAGTATTTTTACCATAAGAGCAGAATTGCGATCCATTCAATTTACAATTCAAACAGCCGCAAACACACCTGAAACGTTGAAACCCAACCCTTTGGATAAACCCGATACATAATCATCTACCACATCACCCTATTTTCAAACTCAAACTTTACGCGTAAAGGAATAAAATTCATTTTACTTTAGATGGTGCGAATATAAAATTGATGCCTACATTCCTTCCTGCCATTAGAAATTTAATAAGGAAGCTCGATATAAAACCAATTTTGTTCTGCGGGTATATCAAGCTAATTTCACTTTTATTTCTACCGCGATAAAACTTATTATGTTTATTTCTTAATATGTCGTGGTGAAGCGTGCGGGCCCTTATGTCAAGTGTATTGTTTAAAAGACAAGCTGATGCCTACTTGTGACTATTGTTTTATATTTAAATGGGTTGTATAGAGCTGATAAAGAATTAAATGTTATAACCAGATAGCTACTTTGTAATACTTATCCATTAAGATTAGATAATAAAATTTCTAGAATCTCTAGATTTAGTCATAAAGTCTCATCTCGGATTTAAGATTGTCACATAGTATCAAAAATGGAAACCTTAGAGACGCATGGGGAGAATACGCATTTGTATTACTTTATCAGGAATAATGCTTTGCGCAATTCGTGCCGCCTGGAGCGATGAGGATATGCAGTCTTTATTCCATAAGTCAGGCCGGTTACCGTGTTTGCCCGATCAATCGTAAATCTAATGAAAACTACATTTAATTTTATCCCGAAGCGTCACCGCATAACTGACTTCAATTCGGTTAACACCCGGAAAATATATCCGAGTTAACGCCGGGACGCTTTTTAATTATTCCCGGTTTTAAAATTTCGTGCGCTTACCAACATAAAGGCAATGTATAAAGCAGAGACAGTTGAACTACAGATATACGTACGGTCCATATATAACGGAAGATCCGTCGCGTCTCGTCAGTCGCGTCGAAACTCATAAAAAAATGATACTCAACTTTTGCGCTTGCGTTTAACGGATCTTCCTGTAGGGTAGGATCTACGTTTTTTAATCGTATGATTCCATGCCATTCCTCTTCTTCACTCATTTTTACGTAGATAGGTAGGTATTACCTGATATTAGGTATTATAGATTCCCCCCCCCCCCCCTCTTCCTTCCATACTCTTTATCCCAAGTTACAAAAAACAACAATAAGTAAAACATGTTTACAAAATAATTGTTGAATAAAATAACAATATGCTGACTACCTCATACGCAAGAACTAAAAGACGCTTGCTATCAGTACTATTTTAGACTTTTTTATGAATATTAATGGAACTATATAGGTATTCATATTTATGCACTAAGTAGGTAAATTAAGTTACCTACTTAGTGTATAAATATAAATACCTATTAAACTTTTAACGACTGTGTTTATCTCATTAATACTGATATTCCGTTATTACTACTGAATTCCTCTCAGTACGGAAATTAACATAAAAACCGTCAAGGAGATTATAAAAAGCTGTTACAAAGATAAGTTTGACATATATATTTTTAAACCCCACGCAACGCCTACGATAGAAAGTGCAAGGTTGAATTTAATGTCACACTGGTCTGTCCTACCCACACATTAGTACCCGGAACCTTCTGTATGAAGCTAAAACTATTTTTAAAGCTTCCTCTGAACTAAAAATTGCTTAAATTTGCGAAGCAGTGTAAGGGTGCTGGTACTATAACATTCAGTTTGAAGCACCTGTCGTATTTGTTTTATTGTCAATATAACAAAACCCTAGCTGATCAGAGATTTATGTAGTGAGTAATAAACAATACGAACTTTGCCACCGGTCTATCTATCATCGTAAATGTCAACGACACTGCAACCCTGACCTGTGAGGCTGCGAATTGGACAACAGTGTGAGCGAGAGCGGACAGCAAAGAGCGGGCGGTTTAAATTAACACAGAGTTTGAAGTAGACCTAATAAAGCAATCGCCAAGTGTCAGGAGGCCCTTCATTCTGCTAACATTAACGTATCAATGACATTTCAATAACATCCCTTAGTGTGACAGTTGTTGTTACTAGATCACAAAGATAGGTATATCATAGGTAGCCTGGTAGAGATTGCTACCTTAGCAATAAGGCCGCCTTTTGCATCGATGTTTCTAATAAAAATTGTTTTCATGTTTATGTGTTAATGGGCAATAAAGTATATTCATTCATTCATTCATAGATTTACCAAAGCCATCATTTTGATAATATTAGATCAATATTGAAGAATTGAGGCGACATACTGACATAATGATTTAATGCAAAAAAAGAATCATTTTCAATCAGAATCAGCCGTGTAAATGACACTCCTATCGTAGTGTATTTTTCGTTGAACATACTTACACACGCCGTCGCGTATTGTAATAAAAAATATAGATATTTTTTGAAATTTGCTATTTTGAAAATATAATTAAGAATTGAATAGGTTGGGATTTGAAATTGGAATTGTATTTCACTCTCCGTTTTTGCCATCAACCTGTTCATAGCCTCATTCAGAATGGATTGTCAATTTTCCATCAATTTGAAACATTCAAAGAGATCGCCGTAGTTGATAAATGGGTTATAGATCTTTGGTTATGTTTTAAACAGGGTGTAACGGTAGGATTATCGTTTATTACGTGTTAAAATCCACGAGTGATAAGACTTCGCCAAGAAATCGTTTCACGACTAAAAGCTGTATCAAAATCTGTCGCATGGTATGTTTGGGAGGTATAAGCCTAATAGACAGGAAATGACAGAGGCGAGCTAGACTTTAAGATTGCGAATTGCTATAAAATATGCAGAAAAATCGTTCACCATATCCTCCTGCTGGAGTGATGCTATAAACTGTATATGTAACTAGAATGCGTATGAGATCCACCAATATGATTGATATGATTGTCAATATTATATTTGTATTTGACACATTTCACAAGATCGCAAAACCTCAAAAACAACTCTCACTACCTAACCAAAACTCCATTGTTGAGACCGAGATAGATACAGTGTCGATTATTGAAAAACCATTAAGATGCCATTATCACAGTTACATTAGAATTGGGACCCGGGATGGTGTTAGGGAGGAACGGAAAGGACTTTAAACCCACCAACCCGGGCTATTTAGTTCTCATGTATTAGAAAGGCATGTAACTTCAGCGGTGATATTAATAAGCTGGTGATGATTATGACTTATGTAATCAAATTAATTGACCACGCTCACTGTTCAGTTACTTCGTTCATTTGTAGTGAAATGGAAACCAAAGAAGACCCGACAAAATTCAAATAAGCAGAACTATACAAAACGAAGCTTTTTAAATAAATTTTAACTTTCTTTATTATAACAGAGAAATTAAACAATTGTGTCGTCTCAAACAACGATGTAAGGAGATAGTATAGTTAAGACTTGCAAGTTATAAAACAGATAGCGATAAGCAATGAATATAAGAGAAAACAAAGGCACCCGTTTCCTCACAAAGATAACAGCCCTACTATGAGAACTCGATCGACATTTTATGACCTAGAAAACTTTGCCAGACGTGATAATACTTACATACTTATTATTTACTAGCTATTCTCCCGCGACCTCGCACGCGAATTTATAGCCTATGTCAATCCTGTATGATATAGCTCCCCATAGGTGAAAGATTTTTTTTAAATCGTCCAATAGTTTTGGAGCCAATTCGATGCAAACAAACAAACAATCAACTCTTTCCA